TAGCTCCCAAACAGAAGACGGGGAGTCAAACTTACCGCTTTGTAAAGACGCTCATTGTGATCCTTCGAAACAGCCAAAGCCGTCACGCTAGGCTTGTAAGCAGCCGACAGTGATGTGATTCCCGTCCTGATCGCTTTTATGTACGTGTCGGTCACCTGAAATATTAAGGCTCACAAAGCAGTCTTACGCGCTGTTTCACACTTGCATTGAGTTACCAGTAACGACTTGATAGCGATTCATTGATGTCACGCAACCTGTCAAGAGTAACGTTATTCAAACGTACGTCTACACTCCGTGTAAGCGTTTTCAGCGACTAGGACAATGCAAGTATCTATCAACCGCTTGAGCTTCCGCTCACGCTCGGGCCTGCATTTCAAGCGTCACCAGCGTTTTCAGTGATAATCTTTACCCATGCTTTTTTGGTCGCAGGAAACTCGAAAAGAGTCATCGAACGCTGGAAACGCTGGTGGACGCCCCAACGCTGAGATACGCTCAAAACGCTGCCGCAAAGTACGAACACACTCACAACTGCACTGCAGCTACAGATTTCATCATCACTAAGCTGTTCTACGACACATGTCTTGCGTAAAACTTTCGCTGAAGAACAAGGGAACTTACAAGGCTGAATTGGCCTTCAGATATTCCAGAGAAATACAAAACAATGTGACGAGGCGCCACGGAAGTAGCAGTACGAAATTTCTTCAGGATTTCAACGATCAGTTCACTTAGCTTTGCGCCCATCATCTACAAGAGAACACAGTAAAGAAGGAGGAGGGATAACGAAGAGGAAAAGAGAAGATAAACTTCAAAAATGCTTACATCTGATTGACGTGGCTCAATGTACACATAGTCGCCAATATACTGCTGAGCATTTGCTGCGCAATTTGCTCCCCAGCCAAGTACAGAAGGCATCTGAACGATCAATAGAATGGGAAGTCTTCAGACCCTCCAGATGGAAATCAACCTTATATGTCGCGCCGCGTTCGACTTCCAACTTCGAAAGCGAAGGAGGATTGGAGATCTCGAAGCCGACAAAGAGGCGATCTTTATCGCTGACCCATTTGTTCATTCTGAAAGATATCATCATGGTACGCATAATCCAAAAAGTGAATCTGCGTTCATACTTTGCGTCAGCATTTTGAGAGTAAGGCAGCATTCTCAGCGTTTTCGCAGGTACATTTGAGCTTTTAGCGCGGGCACTCGCTGGAAAGACTGGCATGCGCTCGAGACGCCAAGCAATATCTACACTTTCTTAACGCTGCTGTAAGCCATACGCTTAAAGCCAATACGTGCGCCAGATCGAAGACTACACTTTTCTAATCGCTCGAAACGCTCAGAACGCTGACGCAAAGAATGAACACAGCCTAAGGAATAAGGACTTACGGGTCACTAGGCTTTGAACCGAGCATAACGTTGTAGTTCATGCCGCCAAGTTTCATGTTGAGCTAAGCAACCTTTATTTGGAGACAAAAGCCTACTACTGCAAAAAAAGCTCACCTTGGCGACAACATTGTCCAGCGTCTGATTTTGATTTTTGTTCAGCACAGAGTCGACCTTGCTCCCCTTCACCTCTTGAGACACAATTTGATGTTCGACTTCGAGAAGTTTGATTAAATCTGAAACATGAGATGGAAGCTCAGCAGCAGCATTCGATATGAAACAACATTCGGCGTTGGTGCAGCAAAGGTTCGCAGTTCAACGCAAAACAGGTTTCCACCCAGGTATTAGGAGAGGAAAAGCGCTCCGAGGTGGGTAAGTCACATTTCACAGAATACGGAAAAGAATTTGTTTTGGCAAAAATAGCAATCTTACTCACAGCTCTACCTCTTGATTTTAATGCAACTGACGGCGGCCTTTTGCAATACCTGCGCCCAACATATGATAGCTAACAACAGAGTCAAATAGAAACATTGCTATCACCGAAGACTCACCGTGTAGCTTTATTCCATCAGAAGTTATGAACATCAGGTATTGACGATTCTTTCGCTTCTGTGTTGCATAAAACTCCTAAACGCTGTTTTGATGGGGACGAAACGAAACCACAGACTTTATATGATATCAACAAAGCTGGTATCTACAAGAATGGAATCCATCAGAGTTGAATCTCCGAGAGTGCCACACAAGAGGATGCAGCGACGGCACCGCCGCGGTACTTTGCGAAAGGTATATGGCAAGACAATCGTAATGTGCCGCGCTGATGGGCGTGGTGAGCGACGCCGCGCGCGACAGACGAGTTGTCTTGCCTGGCTGTTGAACTTCAGCGTTGATGGGATGCAAAAACATCAAACCTCACGGTGTCTTGTCTCTTGAGTTCATATGATTTCGCTGCTTCAGTCGACAATGTGAAGCATATCGACAAGTTGCCCCAGATACGCCGCGCGCGACGACGCGACGAATGACTGTCTTGCGCGTCTCCCTTTTGCGCATCTGATGAAGGAGAGATAGTTTAGCAGGGTACTGACTATGAGTTCAAGTGGAGAATTCGTGGCAAAGAAAGAAACGGGACTCCGAATGGCTCTCAACTCGTGCGTCTACTTTTTACAGGCATCCTCCCATACCACGCAGTTGAACCAGTGCGTTCTTCATCAGTGGCTCATTACACAACTTTCAGCATAGACAAAACTTCCCCCACCACTTGTATGAACGACGACAATAGATAGATCACCAGTCAGATTGCCCGCCTTCGGCGGGCGATCCTCCTTATGCGTGTGAAGTGGGTCCCCCTAGTGGACGGTGGTAAAATTTTCGTAAAGGCAAGGAATGGGAAGTGGGTATTGGATGCTTAGTGGATGAACTGAAGTGGAAGTATATGTGTATTTCGAGTTGTTGTAGAATAAATAGCAGGTAAATAAACAAATAAATAAATGCAAAAAGTTAGTAGTATGAGTTTTCGATTACCTCATATCCACCGCTATTCTCACTTGCCTTGCGACGATATAATGATTTTTTGCAGCAGGGCAGCCGACGCACACCTCATTCGCTGGGGTGTCTTTTCACTTATATTACCCGTCCCTCGGGCTGCTCAGGATGCGTTTTGAAAGATTTTTTCCTAGGCACCTTTCGCTTCTCGCACGCCCCGCCCATTGCGGGCGGAGCGTATGTTTCTTGTATGTGCTCTGTAAATGTTGGCCCATGCTATAACCATCCCGAAGCTTGATCCGTTCCTTCAAAGCGATTCCCATTTTC